AAAGAAAAAAACATAATAAAGATAATTGCTGCTTATATGTATTTTGGTTGTTTGCACCAAGGAATTTCTAAGACTTCCTTGCGTTGCCGCCGTTCCCCATACGGACAGACAGATAACATTTTGAACAACCCTTAAGCTACAAGTCGCTGCGAAAAAGGAAGTTTGCAACATTTCAGACGTGATTTTATCCTTCTTGTTAGATAAACTCAAATGTAATTTTCGCACCAATGAAAGAACATTTAAAGTTGAAGGGCTGGCGGCAGACGCATTTCATTATGTCTATCTGTCTGTATGGCCTATGATTCAATGGTAGAACCATAACGAGCTTGTTTCTTTTTAAATTTCATCCTTTAAGTATCTTATCATGTTTAATTATGAAACGATTATAAAAGAGTTTATAATCAACCCCAAGCATAACAGGTTTGCATCAGGACAATGAACTTTGGTAGTAAGAAGAAGACATATATCTTTTACAAGAACTTGGGGATTATTAAAAAAACTGTAGTGGTGATAAAAGGTCATAGACCTTAAAAATTAAAAAAAATCATTTACTGTTGATGATTTTTTCTCCAAAAACCCTTAAATAAATGATTTTTCTTTGAATAAATGATCTATCGAAAACAAATAATCAATTTCCGCTTCTATTTTCAAAACTGCTTAAATGTTTTGACATTCAAATTCCATGTTATGGAATTTATAGGCCACACTCAGCAAAGATCACGGGGCACGTGAATTAGTTGGCGGCATTTGAAAGAGAAACAAAAATGAATTATCAAAAAATTAACTACTAAATAGCCGACAAAATATTGCTGCAGCAAGTGGCATTGATGTTTGCTGCTCTAGAAACAGAAAAAAGAAAATGTTGCATAAAACACTCAACTGCTGACTGCCACCACTTGCACCATATTTTCTGTTTTCTGATGGGGGGAGAGAGCAGTACACACTCGTGCTGCTGCTAACAGCCACCGCCATTGTTTCAAGTGGTGAAAAATGTTTAACGTTTTTTTCGATTTTCATTCATTCTACAGCTACATTGCAGATGCAGCTGTTGCGGCAGCTCTTGTTGTAATTATATTGAAGTTTTAATTAAGTATTTCCTTTGCCATTTAACTCTTCTCTTTTGGATTGTGCCACCATACCAAAAAAAAAAAAAAAAAAAAAAAAAAAAAATAAAAGAAAAACGCCACACAATGGCAGGAAAAATATATATTTTTTTTTTTTTGGTTGTTAATAATTGAATGAGGGGGCAAAAGTAAAGAAACATTTTTTCAATTTTCTTTTCCTCTACTTGCAACGAGTTGTAGTCCGTTTACCAAGAATATATGACATGGAGAACCCCATGTTGCTTTGCTTTATTTCCTTTTCAAAGAATGAAAATGCATTTTCATGTAATATCATAAATATTAAGTAGATCGGGAACGCTTTTAAGTAACTGAAGATTTTTTGTGTAGAGAAAACGGATTCCATAGATAAAAGTCATCCTCAATTTCTGAGGATTTTTTATCTATAGAAAAGTTATCGTCAAAATGATTTCATTAAAGGATTCCGAATTAAATGTAATATATAATTTTCAATTCGAAGTGAATGAGAATTATGATATCATTAAGATCAACTACACTAAAGACCAAATTACAAAGTCTTATGTTATGTCTTTCATGAAGAAATCAGATCACTGACGATAAAGAAATTTTACAATAACAGTCCAATGGAAAATACCCTGAATATATCGTCAAACCCTCATGCTGCAAAGAAATACAATATCCACTAGAACAACCAAAAAACAGGAGAAGAAGATTTATCACCGGAAGTTGTGAATGAAGTGAATGAGAATTACGATATTCTACATCAACTACACTAAATACCAAATTACAAAGTCTTATGTTATGTCTTTCTTAAAGAAATCAGTAACGACAGAAACGCCACTGAAGATATTTACAATAACAGTCCAAAGTAAAATACCCTGAAAATATCGTGAAACCTTCAAGCTGCAAAGAAATAGAATATCCACTAGAAGAACCAAAAAGTAACAAGGCAGCAAGAGAATATGATTTATCACCGGAATTTGTCTATAGATAAAAGTCATACCTAAAAAACATCTCACATAATGTATAATTTTCAATTCGAAGTGAATGAGAATTATGATATCATTAAGATCAGCTGCACTAAAGACCACATTACAAAGTCTTATGTTATGTCTTTCTTGAAGAAATCAGTAACAACAGAAACACCACTGAAAATAACGAAATGACAATAACATTCCAATGGAAAATACCCTAAATATATATCGCGGAACCTTCAAGCTGCAAAGAAATAGATTATCCACTAAAAGGACCAAAAAGTAACATGGAAGCAGGAGAAGATGATTTATCGGTGGAAGCTCTCTATATATAAAAGTTATACCTAAAAACCTTTTCATTATGGATGTTTAATTTAATTTGAACTTCCATAATGAAAAGGTTTTTAGATATGACTTTTATATATAGGGAGCTTCCGCCGATAAATCATCTTCTCCTGCTTCCAAGTTCCATATAGTTTTCAATTCGAAATGACTGCGAATTATCACCTCAATTATTAAGTTCTGAAGAAATCATTAACGATGGAAAAGCCACTAAAATAACGAACTGTACAATAGCAGTCTAATGGATAATATCCTGAATATATCGTGTAACCCATGACGTTACAACGAAATGAAAGGTCCAATACATCGAATAAAAAGTAACAAAACAATAAGAAAATATGGTTTATCACTGGAAGTTCTCATATAGAAAAAAGTCATGGTCAAAAATATTTCAATAACGGATTCCGAATTAAATGTAATGTATAATTTTCTATTCAAAGTGAATGAGAATTATGATCTCATGAATGAAGATAAACGGCAATGAAGACCAAATTACAAAGTCTTATGTTAAGTTTTTTCTGAAGGAGTTAGTAACGACAGAAACGCCACTGAAAATAACGAAATGTACAATAGCAGTGTAATGGAAAATACTCTGAATATATTGTGTAACCCATAAGTTTTTAGCGAAATAAAAGATCCAATAGGACAAATAGAAAATAGCAAAGCAGGAGGACAAGATGGTTTATCGCTATAGAATAAAGTCATCCTTCAAAATAATTCAATAACGGATTCCGAATTAAATGTAATATATAATTTTCAATTCAAAGTGAATGAGAATTATGATCCCATTAATCAAGAAATAAAATATCAAATAGAAAGACTAAAAAGTAACAAAGCAGCAGGAGAAGATGGTTTTTTGCCGGAACCACAAAAAATATAAAACTAAACTGCAGCTGAGTTACTTCGACCTCATTTCATATCAGCTTGGGAGCAAGAAATACCGCATCCAACGTGGCGTATTTCTTCCTTCCGCTGTGAAGTTACCAAAACATGGCAATTTAAATGATTGTAACAATTGGAAAGGCTAGTGTTTCAGATCAAATAGAAGATGTGTATACCACACCAACACTCTACGGGCTGCTGAAGACGACTTGTTCCTTCTTGCCATAGAAAAAAACTTAAGTAACTGAGGCATTTTTTCCATTCAAAAAAATGTGAACTCATTGATATATTTTTTATATGAAAATTCGTCCTCATTAGCCTGAGATTTTTTTATAGGAAAAACAGTATTTTTTAAATAAAAGTCATCCTAAGTTACTGAGGTCAGATTATTTTCTATAGAAAAAAGCCATCATCAGTTAATAAGGTGGAATTTTTTTCTATAGAAAAATACCTGTTTTACTGAGTTTGACTTCTTTTACTAAGAAAATGCCTTAGTTATTAATGTCGTATTTTTTATTAAAAATATCCAAAGTTACTATGGTCGGATTTTTTCAATAGAAATAAATGCTTCAATTACTGAATTAGCTGACGCCATTTTATTGAAAATATCACATTTAATGAAGACTTGAAGATCCTTTCTGACATGCCTTGTCGACAGCTACACTATCCTGATCTTTGGTTTGTCAAATTCTCATTGGTTTTGTTTCGGTTTATCCTACTCTTCTGCTGATATCGGTGGTGGATTATCTCCGAGGATTTTATTCAATTTGTATTCTTTAGTGGGCTCCTCAGTTGCATCAGTGTGAATATATATGTCATTTCTGTTTGAATGGTGTGTTTCTACGGGACCTCTTCTTCCTCTCCACATTACAAAGATCCATCCTGACGCACATGAAGGATATTCTTTGTATCAGTGTGAATACAATTCGATCCAGTTTGTTCGGTCAGTTGATAAATAGGATCTCTTTGTATGTCAGAACCTTTATTTCTTTATGACTGGGCTTTGGATGGCTATCGATTTATGGTGATTTGAAGCACGCCTTCTATAGCATTCAAACAAAAAATATCTTAGTTACTGAGACATGATTTGTTCCTATAGAAAAATTACTGAGGTCGATTTTTTTTCGTGAGTTATTTATACTATTTCGAGTCAAGCTTAATGAGCTAAGTTTTACAATAAAAAGGAAAGCCAGGAGAACCCACGTGCCCACTCGTTTCACCGTTGGTTAAGCGGTTCATCAGCCACATAGCCCTGGCTTTTCAAAGGTCGTATGTTGATAACTTGTATTTATTTCGCCCTGATGCGAACTTTGCACATGCAAATTAAATTCAAATTTGCCAATGTTCGACATTTGTCTTCATTCTAGAAACAATCCTTATCAAAGCAGATTTTTGTTGTAGCGATGGATAATTTATCCGCAACACCTACAATTGCTTTCTCAGAACGTTAAGTGATCTGACAACATTTTGTGTTGCTCTTGAGGACCTAAGTTCGAACCCGTGCTCAGATGAATTAATTTTTGTTATTTGAATTTTTCCTTGTAAGGGCAGTAACCATTAAAAAATACCTCAGTTACATTACTTTTTAGGTAATATGTAAAACTTAGTGCAGTGCTAAGATTATTTAGAAACTCTGATAGACTTCGCCATCATCGTCGACTGTAGATTTTGCACTCAATTATTTACATTTTTTATTTAAAATTAAAAGACCTGTACTCACCTTCGGTAAATCACGTATGTGATTCGCATCTAAGAATAATTCCTCCAATGTACGCGAATAGCGTAAAATCTCTTCGGGTACTGTCGGCAGTGAGCAATGGCGTTTGTCCACAAACTCGACCTGGCGATTACAGCCTTTAAATATTGGAATGCACTTGAACATATTGGCGGCGGCCGATTGATAACGACGGCGGCGACAGCAAAGTTGTTAACGATTATGAACGACGACAAATGACGAAACAAAACGAAATAGCGAACGCGTCTTAACGAAAACACGACAACGCGAAAACAGCGACGATAACGACAACGACCACGATAACAATATTATTTTTTCAACGTTTAACGGCGACGAACGCGATTGAGACACACACAGGACGTTAGAGACAAAGACACTTTTGCTTGAAGGAATTGTAAAAAATTTACACTTTTTTCTGGTTGCTCGCTCTGGATAGGATGAAGAGGATAGTGCGATAGACAGAGAGAATGACAAACAAATGTCGTTTTTTTTCTTTTTGTTCGATTTTCGATCGATAACTTAGTTGATCTTCAAGATGTATATGTATATGAGTAGATAGGATTAAGTTATGTGTGTGTGTGTTAAATATAATACTTTATTTATGCCTTAGGAGTAAATAAAATAAACTCTTAAAGAGTTTTGATATATTTAATAGTGTCGTTTGTTTTTTAATTGTATCACTTCTACACCCCGATAACAATTTCGATTTTTATTTTTGTGTATTTTATTCAAAATGTTTCTTGTTGTTATATTTACATTAGAATCGTCAAACTTAACAAATTAACTGAAAAGAGAGGAAGGAAAATAGATTAATATTTTGTTAAAAAAAATAGATTTCTTATAGAGAAAATAATATAAATATTGCGAAGAAAGTGTAATTACTTGCCGAAATTTTTGGTATTTTATAATAATTGGGGGATTAGTTATGGTAAAGAAAATCCCAGTTCTAGGCATATAAAAATTTTCGAAATGCAGAATAGAATATATCCCTAGACACTTAAGATTGGCAAAAGAAACACAATTTTACTTTCATAAAATATCCTAAATACCGCGGAATATTGAAAAAATACTCTGAGGTCTGATTTTTGTATACAGAAAAAATCTTCACAACAGAAAATGTATTTTTTTCTATAGAAAAACTGTTTTTACTGCTGTACATTTCCCCGATGATGGAATTAACTTTGTATTCTTGAATATTGATCTAGAGTCTATATTTCTAGCTCGAAAGTTCCCTCTCTCGATCGTGAAGGTTCTTACGAATATGCCTGGGCGCTAAATTCGCCAGTTCACCTCTTTCGGCCAAGCGAAACAACTCTTTAGCTCTTTTCAGTCTATTTTCTTTTTGTAGTGATGTATGTTCTTCCACTTTTTGGAATTTCAATGGCTTTTTTATTTTTTTGTTTTCTTCCATCCATTTCCTTGACGTCGGGCTAGAATCACGTTAAAGAGCGATGGTACGAGACATAAAATATTTAATCACATTTAAATTCTGGATTGCTCTAACGATAGCCTGTTGTGATTTTCCAGCCAAATATAAAGAAATCACACTATAACGCTTGAAGTCCATAACGAATAATTTTTTTTTTTTTTCTGAAAAAATCTCACCAAAATGCTTTTGTATGCTTGTAAACAATAAATGGAGCTGTCACTGGAATATTTTTAACAACTGTCGGACGAGTGGTGTAGAAATTACAGCAGTCTGAAATTGGTTGCAGTTTTTTCATCTCACCCTGTATATCTCGGTAGTAACCCAGTTGACCGCTACACCCCTGTTTTCCATTAATTTGTCATTATAATCCGGAGAGTTCTGTACTGTATAGAATGATGTAATAGGATTCCTAATACTCCATCTTTCGTATGATCCTTCGTTACTACGTTATATACTCCTGAGATTCATAAATTCTAATATCTCATTGTTTCCCTCGAAGTCCATCGCAATCGAATTGGAGGATGTAGACATTATCCGTCCTATTGAAAGTTATGTTGGATGTTAGTGAGTACGACGCAGATTTAGACTTTTGTCTCGATTCCGACTCGGACCAAAAGAATCAGCTACATTTATAACGGGTACTATTGCTCTTAAGTTTTAAAGATACAATAGAACCGGCTTCCGTTCTATTGTATTGGCTACGCCCAATTTCTGGTATGTAGACGTGTTATGTCCAACACCGCATTTAACAGTATTGGTTTTAGATTTCTAAGGTCTTTAAGAGTATTGGTTTTAGATTTCTAAGGTCCATATCCGAAGCAAATAAAGCAGCAAATAATATTGTACAATTTGCCTATCATTTGGGTGTGTAGCCATTTGCCTTTGAAGGTCCGTTCCGTGTCTTAAAACGGGTTATCAAATGTATCTCTGATTAAGATAACCCTATGTATTGCCGACGGGTTAACAGCCGAACTATTCAAGATGCTGGTCAGGAGCATGTACCAGCTGATTAGTACAATATGGCTAGAGGAATGCATGCCCAATGATTGGAACCTCAGCATCCTGTGTCCCATGTACAAAAAAGGAGACAAGACGATATGTGTCAACTGTAGAGGAATTAGCCTCCTTCCCGCATATAATGTGCTATCCAGTGAGCTGTGTGAACGATTGAAGCCAATGGCCAATTACATTATTGGAACATACCAATGCGGCTTCAGACCTGGCAAATCCACCATTGACCAGATTTTCACTCTGCGCCAAATCCTGGAAAAGACCCACGAAAAACACACCGACACATACCACCTATTCATCGATTATAAAGCCGCATTCGACAGCCCCATCCGTTCAGAAGTGTTTAAAGCCATGTCTACGTTCGGCATTCCGACCTATCGGAGCCCTTCAATACCGAACGAGGATTCAGACAAGGTGACAGTTTGTCTTGTGATCTTTTTAACATCCTGCTGGAAAAGGTCATATGAGACGTGCCGTTTCTGTACACCAAACAACACATGTTACCGCCTACGCCGATGACATCGATATAATGGGTCGAACTTTGCGAGCGGTAACCGCCATCTTTGACAAATTGAGAAGGAGTCTGGCAAAGTGGGTCTGGCAGTAAACGGCGAGAAGACCAAGCTGATGGTATCAAACGCGCAAGACCTCCAGTAAACTCGGACCAACTGTGGAACTTGAGAACTACAGCTTCGAGGTAGTTAAAGATTTTATATACATTGGTACCGCAGAAGGATAGTGATGGCCAACCGATGCTACTATGGTCTAAGTAAGCAGTTTAGAAACAAGGCCACCTCCTGCCAGACCAAACTCATACTTTACAAGACGCTGATACTACCCGTGCTGTTATATGGATTTCAAGCATGGGATTTGAAGCATGGCGCAAGCAGATGAGGTATCTCTTGGGGTGTTTGAATGTAAAATTCTCCGAAAGATCTACGGGCCGATCTGCGTCGACGGTGAATAACGGCGTCGAATGAACCACGAGCTTTACGATTTATACGAATTGATGGAAAGACCACGAATCAGATGGAAAGACCAAGTAGAAAACAAGATCTTGGAACGTGGTCTTTCAAATTGGAGGAGATGCGCACAAGACCGACGCGCTTGGAAATCCTTTTTAAGCTCGGCTTATGGAACAACCGTTCCGTAACAAGCCAGCTAAGTAAGTAAATGTATTGCCGTTGATGGAAATTAAAAAGTTATACATTTTTTACTGACTGTCCTCCAAGAAAACAATACACATCAACTTAATTAGGGAAAAATGTCTACTTCTGCATAACAGCTTAATTTCGAATAGATTTTATATTAAAAACAATAGGAACGTTATCGATGACGATGATGACTCAAATAAATATGTAAATACCAGTTTTATTAAAAATGGATCTCAGGCAAACCATCATAACATGAACCCCTCCCCTCTACCCTCTGCCATTACAAATGAAAATAGAAGGGCATAACCACAGCTTCTCAGCCTTTGATTTATTTTTATCGATATAAAATTAATGATGTGCGGTTGGATAATATTCAAGCTATAACCGTTTTATAATGTTAACCACTTGTACAGAACTACTATAACGAAAACAACAACAACAACAAAATTAAATCTATTTTTCCACCACACATACGGCTTCCATAACGATAATGACGATGATGATGCCGAGTTGATGCTCTGAATGTTATGATTAAATTTAATTTGTTGCTCTGTGAGAGTAACGGCAGAGAACAAGAGAGGCGATGGAGTTACGCACAATACACAGGCCAGAGTAAAAACACACGCACAGGCATGATATGTAAACAAAAGACAGACATGGTCAAACATGTAACAAAATATAAGAATAGAGAGACAACATAAATTGGAATACCAGTTAGATGAAGAAATAAGACACAGTGCAAAGAAATAGTAATGGCTTTGAAGGCTATAGCAGAGAGAAGATGCAGTTAAGACAAAATTAAAAAACAAACACACACATACATTCACACATATGCTCACACATTTGATGGGGTTCAACAGAGAAACGTCAAAGCCAACAAAACCAACAAGAAAAAACACCCTAACGCACTAACTGAATGACTGGGCCAACAAACATAGTCAGGGGCCAAGTTAACGAATCGAACAACAAAGCAAAGCAACAACCTGATAAATATACATAAATAATAAAAAAACGAACGAACATTCAATGAAAAATAAAATACGCACAAAGGGAGAATAGAGACAAGAAAGTAGAAAAACAAAAACAAAAAAATTAACTTGCGCCGGAATTTTGTGTACGTGAAGGTATGACGTTGCTCGCGTCATTGTTGTCACCATTATAAAACAACAAAAACAAACCAAGTAGGGCTCACAATATTAAGAGAACAAAATAATAATAACCCTCAGATGAACACACGTGCATATATTTATTTGCTATCCAGCCACCATCATCGTCCTCCTCATCATATCAAACGAAGCAGAGCACGTCACAGTATGAACAGCAGCAGCAGCAACAACAACAATTTATTCTCACTTTGTTGTTTGAAGTTGTTTTGTTTTTTGTTAAAACCAGAGTTCTGCAATAACTTGGCTATGAGAATGAACCTCTGCTGCTGCTTCGGGAATATTTGTTATAGGTATTTGGTTCGTTCGTTCGTCCGTTTGGCTTGACGAATTCGTTTGACTACTTCTACTAGGCGAGCAAACTTCTAGCCGAGGTATTCGGTTTCTATTGTCTA